GAAGCCTTGACCCTTTAGGCTCTGGTGGGGAATCGAGACATCGGGTCCCTGGGAACGCCCCTAGTCAAGGGAGATGGACTGCACCTTCTGGGGCCGTCTCGCAAATCCTGCGGAGAGCACCGAGCCCATGCATTCATCAGAAAACGCTCGCTCCCTCGACGCCCCTCCGCCCACTGCGTTTCACACCTGATCTCGCACCTCTGCGGGCCCAGCCCTGGTCCTTCACGCACGGGGTCACGCCCGGCGCCTGCAAGTAGCAGACGAACGCTCCGCCACCGCCTGCAGGGTGCCGATCCTGGCCAGGCAGATCCTGTGCCCAATATCGGTGCATGCGCTCGCCTGGCCATAGGCGATCAGGAGGGCGCACTTCCACCGATCCCGCTGGCCCCGGATCGGGCCTGCCAGGGAAAGAAAGGTGCTGAACGCACGGTTGGCGCGCCCCAAGCCTGCCGCGAGGAAGCGCCGGACGACCTCCCGGTTCTCCTCCGGAAGAACGAAAAACGGCATCAACCAGACATCGGGCGATGTGATGACTAGGGAAAACGCGTTTCGTGAACGCTTGCTTTGGAACAAATCCCTGGACACGTCAGAATTGGGTCAGGAGGGCCCTCCCCTGAAAATTTGAAGTGCCCGGACCCGATCCTGACACCAGCCTCTCTAACTGGCCCTCCCCCCCCCAAGGGGGAAGGGTTCGAACCGCCCCTCCCTTCCCTTGCCATCCTAGTATAGTTGGATCCAGCCTTACTTCAAATCTTGCTAAGGCTCGATCCAGGCTTAATGACACCGTAGTATACTTGAACGCAAGTTCAATAGCATCCTAATCGAGCTGAATCCAGCTCGAATTCAACTCTACTATCTGTGGACCCAGCTCCAATTAAAATCCTGCGGAAGCTCGATGCAGCTCTGATGGAATCCTATACTAGATCAAACTCTAACTGAATCTTTGAGGGTTCGCTCCAACTCCACGGCATCTTACTGGGATGGCATCCTACTGCATCTCGATCGTCGTCGTCATCGTCGTCGTCGCTGCCCGACGGCGCCGGCACCAGCGTCCCGCCGGCGCTGGCGCTCGCCGTCGTCGGTTGCCCCTCCCCCTCTTGCAATTAAGTCCCCCGCCTCCCCCCTCGATTCCAGGCCCCCCTCCCCCCCTTGCAATGAAGCCCCCCGACCCCCTGGTTCGAACCGCCCTCCCCAAGCGTCCAGAGAACCTGCTCCTTCGACGAACGGCAGGAAGTCTTTGGAGCTCCCCCAATAAGGGGGGGGAACTATCTACTATTTTGGCGGCCTTCTGCACGGACTGGTGTCTCACCAATAGGGGGAAACTATCAGTTTTTTTCCCGCGGCGCCCGCCGCGCAACAACGACGCCGACAGCTACGACTACGTCTGCGACTACGACTAGGACGACTACAATACTTATGCCTCAGGAGCGCTGTCACGAAAAACCTTAGCTCAGAAACTTGACCCTGAGAAGATCCATCCTGAGAGGGACTGTTGAAGCTCAGGCCCCACGAGGGCCCTTAGAAACTCCATCATCAGAAGCTCCATCTTCAGAAATACCATGAGCGACGCCTTCGGCGAAGAATGTGCCGATCTGTATCGCACTCCTCTTACAGCCGTGCTCAAAATCCCTCTGTCGATATGCCCTGGGAGAAAGAGCTCCCCAATACTGTCCAGTCCGCCCAGCAACAGAGGGAGAATCATCTCTGCCGCGATGAGGATTTTTTAGGACCAGTCCCGTTCAACGCGCGCCCCCAGACCCGTTCCCTGTGGACTGCTTTTCGTCCTGGATCCATGTTTGATTGATGGGCCCGGGGTCCGATAACGGGCTCCTAGAGGCCGAAATCAGGGAACAACGCTGCGACTGAAGAAGCTGCCCGCCCGGATGGCTCGAGCCGGGGATGCGGACGCCGATGGCCCATGGCCCCTACCGCAGGCCCGGAGCCCCGGCGCGGGCAGCGCGTCGGAGGCGGCGAACCAGAACCGCCGCCGAGGGCGGCAGGCGGCGCGGACCTCCGAAGCGTGCATGCACTTCTGAAGGGGGACGGCCAGGGGGGGGGGAACTGGCTCAGGGGGGGAGCATCGAGCTTGACTTGGCGGGTGATAGACCACCGATAGTTTGGTCGTTTCAATCCGCAGCCTCATGATGTCCCGCTCCACTCCCCAGGGGCAGTTCTCTGCCCTGGACCGACTTTCGATGGCCGGGAGGTTCGAAAGGAGCGGCCCTCGGGGACCGAAGCTGGGGAGAAACCTTGCAATTGGAACAACAACTCCGGATGCCTGACTTCTCCCCAGACGTCCGACATCGTATTTCAGTGTCGCAGTGTGAATCTTCAGAGGTCTAACACCTTCCCCTGGGCCGGACGAATCGTTTCTTGACGGTCCTTGGTCCCGGCGACGGCCCAGGCGGAAGATGGGTAAAAACCTTCCAGCGACATTTCGTTCGATCTTGACGCAGACACTGTCGCAATTCGTTACTGGATCCTCGGCGCTCGGCATGGTGGCGGCCGGTCGCGACCGTGTCGCCCGTCCCCGCGCAGCCCGTGTCGCCGCTGGCCGCCTGGCGCGGCCTCTCGGGCTGCGCCGTCCATGGCGAGAGGTCACAAATTGCCGGCGCGGCCGCGCGCTGCGCCGGCGCGGGGCGCTCGAGCCAGGGACCAGAGGGTCAGGAGGGAAACGTCGGAAGGTCTCCGTGGGACCGGTGAAACCAAGGGCTGCAAAGCCTGATGAAGGGGCCACTATGCGCAGCATTGAGCAGAATAAACCCACGGACAAGTTGGAAGTATAAGCGGTGTGCATGCTAGATCAAGCGGGATAAAGCTAGATTAGGACGGTTATATCGGCCACGGATACACCAGCGCAAATTCTGAGCTGCGACCAGGGGTGAGGGCGGGCTCAGGCTTCCCTGACAACAAGTAAGACGAAGGCAGAATGAGGGCAAATCCTGATGAGGATCTATAGGAAATCGAGGTGTCGTGTCCGGAAGATTTGTCGGGCGCTGCGACCGTTCCAGAGAGTACGGGCACACTGCTCTGGAGCGCTCAGAAACGCTCTGGGACAGCAAGCTCAATCATAATATCAAACCAGGATGTGGGATCAGATCGGACTGCGCGTTGGATCGCAGTGCATTGTAACGAAATCCGCCGATCCGGCGTGTGAGCTTAAGAAGTCTAAGCTGAAGCTCTGTTTCAGCATGGGCTGTAGCTCTGCTTGGGACGGGGGGGGGGGAGGGGGGACGTAATCAACTAACGCATTCAGTGCTCGGCACCTCCTCCCCCCCTGCCAGCCCCCAGGAGAGAGGGGGGGAGACAGGAGAGAGGGGGGGGGACAGGATAAAGGAGGGTGGGGGGAGAAGAGAGGGCGGGGGACAGGAGAGGGGGGTGGGGACAGGAGAGGGGGGGGGGGGACAGGAGAGAGGGCGGGGGGGGGGGAAAAGGAGAGAGAAGGGGGGGGGAGGACAGGAGAGAGGGGGGGCAGGGAAAGGCGAGAGGGTCCGCTTTGCAGATGGGCGGACAGGAGACAGGGTGGGAGACAGGGGGGGGACAGGAGAGACAGTGGGGGGGGACAGGAGAGGGGGGGGGGGGGACAGGAGAGACAGTGGGGGGGGGATAGGAGAGATAGGAGGGGGGGGGACAGATGGGCTTTGCAAGGGGGGGGGACAGGAGAGACAGTGGGGGGGGGATAGGAGAGAGGGGGGAGCGGGGGACAGCAGAGAGGGGGAGGGGGAGGAGGGGGGGACAGGAAAGAGGACGGGGGAGGGGGGGGGACAGGAGAGAGGGAAGGGGGGGGGGGCAGGAGAGAGCAGGAAGGGAAGGGAGAGGAACAGGAGAGAGGGGAAGGGGGAGAGGGGGGATCGGTGGACAGGAGAGAGGGTGGGGGAAGGGGGACAAGAGAGAGGGGGAGGGGGGCGGTAGGGACAGGAGAGAGGGAATAGGGAAGGGGGAGATACAGGAGAGAGGGGGGAGGGGACAAGAGAGAGGAGGGGGGGGCTGCAGAGGAGGCAGAGGGGGGCTCTTGAGCTCGCTCAAGCTTCGCTCTGCGAGGGGAAGGGGGGGAGGAGGGACGTCATTGACTGTTGAATGTAGTGCTCGGCATCTCCCCCCCCCTCCCCGGCCAACTCCTCCCCCCCCTCGATTTCGGCACCCCTTGAAACTGGCGGAAGATCTGACGGAAGATTTGGAATATAAGTCTGGAGAAAATCTGGGGGAAGATCTGCCGGAACATGGAAGATCTCGCGGAAGATCTAGCGGAAGATCTGCCGGAAGATCTGGCGTCAGATCTGGCGGAAGATCTGGAGGAAAATCTGGAGGAACATCTGGCGGGAGATGCCGCGGACAATCTAGCGGAAGATCAGCCGGAAGATGTGGCGGAAGATCTTGCGGGAGATCTGGCGGAAGATCGGGAGAAAGATCTGGCGGAAGATCTGGAGGATAACTCTGGCGGAAGATCTAAGGGAACATCTGGCGGAATATCTCCAATATGTGAGGATTTTCCTGTTCAGACTCCACGCGCGCTTCAGACTCCGCCTCTTCTAACACCTACAGCGGCAGCAGCAATAGCAGTAGCAGTAGTAGTAGCAGCACCAGTTTCTTGCAGTAGCAATAGCGGTGGCAGTAGCAAGAACATGGAAGTAGCAGTAATAGTGGCAGTGGCAGTCCCCTCCACCTCCTAGTAATAGTGGCAGTAGCAATAATAGTGGCAGTAACAGTTGTAGTAGCAGCGGCAGTAATAGTGGCAGTGGCAGTCCCCCTTCCGAGGTCCATGCAAGTCTAGCCAGGCTGCACTAAGGCCCACGGCCCAGCCAACGAAGGCCCAAGGCCCAAGGCCTAACGAAAGTCTAGCCAGGCCGCACTAAGGCCCAAGGCCAACCCAACGAAGGTCCAAGGTCCCCCCAAGTCTCCCCCTCAGGCCGCCCCTCCGGCCCCCCTTCAGTAGCTGCAGGCTTTAAGGCTCAGCGATGAGGTTATTATCGCTCTGCGCGGCTGCCTGCTTCTGCGCAGCCATGGGGGCCGACGGAGATGAGACTAGCCCTGCGCATGTGCGCCAGGAGCCACCATGGGTCACGACGCTCACGAGCCTGGCCCAGAGGAGCTTCAAGAGGGTCCAGAATGAGGCGGTGAACAGCATCATGCAAAAGAATGCTGACTTCACCATGTCCCTGCCGATATGGGTCGCCACGGGTGCATCAAAACCCATCACCTACCCCAAAACATGGAAAACATAAGTGGAGGAGAGGGAGAAGGCGGAGGAAGAGGAGGAGGAGGAGCAGAGGAAGATGATGAGGAGGATGGTTGCCGAGGAAGTCGGAGGAGGGGGAGGAGGAAGAGAAGGAGGTGGAGGACAAGGAAGAGGAGGCGGTGGAAACAGCGAGCTCAGGAGGAAATGAGCAGGCAAGGGCAGAGGGTGTTCCTCTCCCCCCCCATCTCCCCCCCCCAACTCCCCCCTTTCTCTCGCCGCCTTCTCATCCCCGCACTCCGTCCAACCCTCCGTCCACTCCTTTAGTCTCGTGTTTGTGATTCCGCCAGGTCTTGAACATGTGCTCGATGACCCTGCCAGCAGCGTGGCCATTGGAGGGTGCTGTAAAGAAGGCGTACGAGCATTACTACCAGGATAAAGGGTGCTACGCGTTCCCACCGCCTGGCCACATCGTCGAGGCCAGCTTCTACAAGACGCTGGCGCCGGAGATGGTGCGGAAGTTGCAGCGCGATAGCCTGGACACGCTGTATTCGGCCTGGCTCATGCTGTTGCGCGACGTGCAGGAGAAAGAAGAGAAGCTCGCCAAGATCGTGGAAGCGGCAATGCAAGTCCCGATGAAGTTCACGAAGCGGAACAATGACAACGAGCGCGTGCTGAAGGTATACCAGTATAAGGAGGACGAAGAGAAGAATGCGGACTTGTTGGGCCACTCCCTCCTTGGCCGAGCGCGCGAGCTAGCAGGGCTCCAAGAAGTTCTTCGTTCGAATTCTCAGAGCAGCACGCCCCCGGCGATCGAAGAGCTGTTCAATTCTGGCGGCATCACCTGGGCGCATAAGGAGACTACGATGAACTTGTACAACATCAGGCTGCACCTCCGCATCCTCAGACGCCTGTCGATGGCAGTTGCCGACGTCGGCGCCCCGGCCTACAAGGACTCGGCCCTGTACTACTTCGACCGCAACGAGGAGATCTGGGGGCGCAAGCATCCGAATGTTGCTATGCAGGAGACGGGCGGGTCTTTTGATGCATTTCAGAGCGCAGTTCCAGACTTTGGAGACCTACGCATGCTGGCGGAGACTTATCATGTCATGCTTCTGCGCGGATACAACGTGAAGGCGAGCGGCAGGCGCGCCCCTGAGACCGCCAAGGCCATCCTGACTATGACGAAAATTCCTTCTTCACTGTTGCCACGGTATCCTCTGTTCGAGTCGGTGCTGTCCGTCTACAAGACGCTGAAGACATTCCACAAGGAGTACCCATCAGGTTTGGATTTTGATGGCAAGGAATTGTTACATGTCAGCCACACTTACCCGATCCTTGGCGAGGGCACTGCGGAGAAGCTGAACTCAGAGATCCTGCTCCCTACGATGCTCAACAAGAAGTTTCAGGCATTCCTCGGGCACCCCACTGCTCTGGCCGTCCCCTTCATCAAGGACATGTTGCCCGAGTTGGATCAGCTCTACCAGGTGGACGTGGCTGAGCGCAGGGCCAAGGAGCGCGCGGTTCAGGGCGAGCGCGAAGAGTTCGACGTGGCTATGAGCTGTGAGGCCAGCGGGTTAATTACCGAAGACGAGGCCAAGTCGTTGAGAAACGTCTTCGAAGACAAGAACAAAAAACGAACTACTGAAAATGGCGGACGAATTCTTGAAGGCCAACGTCGTGTTCATGAAGTGGTCAAGCACCCTTTTGGCTGATATCGAGAAGCAGCCGATGATTGCAGCAGGGGCTTCGCGCCTGTGGTTCTTCAACGCGGGCACCGACTCCACGAAGGACCCCAACAACAAAGCATCTGCGTGGCGCATGAAGGCAACGCCAGACGAGGACCACATCAACCAGATGGTCAACATCGTGGCGTCGTTCATCAATGAGTCAGATTCCGCCGTGATCGTCAGCGGCCGCAACAAGCTATTCCATCGTGCCGCAAAGAAGATGGTGATGCAATGCAAGCCCAAGCTCGCGGTCAAGGAGTTGGAGATGCTGCCAGACGAGGGCGAGGTGTCGCAACACCTCCGCGTCGAGAGCAGCGTAGTTGGCACCGTGGACCTCACCGACCAGTACCTGCACATCATGAAGACCAAGCGCGCCATGGACACGAAAAGAGGACTCCCTCGGCGATTCGTCCCAGGGAACACGGCATTCCGGACAATGGCTGGCATTCCCGTGGTCTCCAAGGACAGCATGGTAAAGGTATCGTATTCCGACCGCGAGGCAGTCTTCAAGCACGTGTGCGGCTCGGAGAAGTGGACTCCTGGGGCGAAGGCGGCCAAGGGCCAGGACCTGTCCGACGATGACGACGACGAGGCACCTGAAGATACAGCAGTTGACCCCCTGGAGGCGATCAACGGCGGCACTGCCACATTAGTCGTCCTGTTCTGGATGGAGCTGCACTTGAGGGTGCGCCTGCGAGGATATGCAAAGCCCCATCGTCATTGACTCCTCCTCCTCCTCCTCTTCTCCTCCTTCCTCCTTCCTCCTCCTCCTTCTCCTCCTCCTCATCATAATCCTTCTCTTCCCCCCCCTCTCCCCCATCCTTTCCTCATCGAGACAATGGGGGGGGGGGGGGTCGGAGAAGGAGAATGAGGAGGATGACAAGGAGGACGAGGATGAGGAGGAAGAGGAGGAGGATGAGGATAAGGAAGATGAGGATGATGAGGTGTCTGGCTAAAGATTGATGGGGGCTTGCATCGCATAGGTGCGCGCTCAATTTCTGTGGGGGGCCGGGGCCCGCGTGTTGATCAATTTCACTCCGGGGGCTGGGCATATGATCAAGGCGGCGTTCATGCTCAGTGTGAAATCGATAGTCGTGTGTCATAACGAAGCTCACGTCAAAGTGCTGAGTGACGTCTTGCGTGCGCATCTGCTCGACGAGATCCAGAAATCTGGGCCCGCATCAAGCAGGTTCCTCCCAGCGGACAAAGACGAGCGCCTGGAGAAGTGCAAGCCTGAGCGCCTCAAGCTGTACGAGATGCAGCGGAAGCGGAGCGCTGGCGACTCAGACCTCATCAGCCCCGAGGCGAAGAGGACTGCGCTTGGGTCCTCAGTCGACGCGATGCTGGCCAGCTTGGAGGGCACGCCGACCCCGAAGGCCAAGGCAAAGGCCAGGGCCAAGGGCAGCGAGACCCCCGAGGCCGAAGCAGGAAGCAGCCCTGCTGCTGGAGCTGAGGGATCCGCTGGGGAGGCGGGGAAGGTGAAAGGCAAGGCGGATGCCTCGTCTGATGTAGCAGGCCCAGCGGAGGACTTGCAGGCCTTGCTGGCACAGTGGTCTAATAAGTAGGCGTTGTTGCTTGTTTAGACCCCCGCCACCCCAGCTTCTCCAACCCAAGCCCCCCGAAATACAAGTTCAGTATAATCTCAGTCCGACTCCAACAATTGCTGCTGTTGCTCAGCTCATGTGGCCCAACCGTGGGCAAGATCTCATGCCTGCGGACATACATCATGATATGTGGTGCTGTGTCTTATTCGGGTTTTCTTCCGAGTGTGTTTTAACTTGATATTTTATCGCAAGCGAGTTGCGCTTGCCTGTCATGCTCTGGCACATCAGTCTGCCCTCCATGTTGCGTCCCAGACGCCTGAACTTAACTTGCCTGCTGGTGCACCAGCTCTGAGCAATCGCAGAACTGTGAGAAACGCGCAGACTCTCAACAACAGAGGAGGGGGTGAGGAGGGAGAGGATGGGGAGAGGAGGGAGAGGAGGGAGAGGAGGATCAGGAGGATCAGGATGATCAGGAGAGTCAAGAAAATATCGAAATACAGGATCCAATCAGACAACCAAGCATCAGCAATGACGGCCAACGCCATGATAGTGATCACGTATCCCAGCAACCCATCCAGCAACACGATGCAAGACGCTGACCATGGAAGCGTAGCAGCATGCAGGGAGTAAGTGCAGAAAGATAACGACGACAATGGCGACGGCAAGCATGCGAAACTACGGCGACGGCGACGACGACGGCGCGTCCAGGGCGATGGAGACGCATGAGTGCCCACGAGCACGCGCCGAGAGGGATTCGCCATCATGTTGGATCGTCTTGGATGTCTGTTAGGCCAAACGCCGGCCGTCTCGGGGCACATTTGGAGGCCGTCATGGGCTGCGTTTGGGCAGCTTGACGGCACCATCTTGGGGCGTCGAGAAATTCTTGACGCTTCGCGCATCCCCGCCAGCCCATCCAGAAACGATATGTCCAGGCAAGTTGAAGAGATCATGGAAGTGGGGGAGCAACGGGAGGGACAGCCGATCCGTGCAAAGGATGAGGCGGAAGAGGAGGCCAGATGGATAGATGAGGGGGTGGCGAAGAACCGAGCGAAGGAGGGATGAGGACAATGATGACGCTGGGTGGATGGTTGAATGCCGCTCGGATGCCTCATGGAAGCCTTTTGGAAGCCTCTTCGGGCGTCTTGGGGGTCTCTTGGCGGTCAATGGGGGCTCTTGGGCGTCTTGGGTGCTTCGGGGGGGCCTCTTGAGGCCGCTTGTGATCCTCCTGGGGGGCTTTTGGGGGCCTGTTGGAGGCCTCTTGGGGCCTCTTGGGGGTCTCTTGGAGCTTCGTGGCGGCCTCTTCGAGCCTCTTGGAAGCCTCTTGGAACCATCCTGGGAGCCTCTTGGAGCCTCTTGGGGGCTTCTTTGGGCCTCATGGCGGCTTCTTGGGGCCTCTTGGAGGCCTCTTGGAAGCCTCTGGGGGCCTCCTGGGCGCCCTTCGGGGCCATCTTGGAAGCGATCGATCAAAGAAGAGGGTGGAGTTAATTAACCCCTCCCCCTCAAGAGAAAAAAATGGAGCCAAAACCATAGTAAAACAAATAATTTTGGCTTCTTCGCCGGTGCCGTTTTGGGCGCCCTGACCGCTCGCGACCGGCCCCGTCCAAGTCCAAGGGGGGGGGGGGTAGGGGGGAGGGGTAAACCCCTCCCCGAAGGGAAACAAAGGGGGTGGAAGAGGAAACTCCCTAAAACACCTGCGCCCAGAGGGCTGGTGGGGCTCGTTGGGGTAGCCTGGCCACGTCGTCGTCGTTCTCGTGGTCTTCGCCGTCGTCCTCGCCGTCATCGTCGGCTACGTCAGCGGAATAATCCCTCATCCGCCCTCCTGACTTGCCTGTTCTCCCGTGGTTTTCAGGCTCGGAAATATCCGCCGCGTTCACCCCGCCAAATCGGAGATGCTTTCGGCACCCGGGCAACGATGGACCCTTCAGACCGCGCGATTCTGGAGAACGAGTCTGGTTTCGATCCCGACCTCTCGGCGGCGCTGGATGACGCGGCCAGGTTGGAGCTAGGGGAAGGGGTAAGGGGGTGGCGTGTTGGTGATGCTCCTGAAAACCGCCCTATCCTGTCCCGCCCCCAACTCCAACTGGGCCGCGTTGTCCAGAGGGGTGGCATCCCGCAGTTGACCAGAGAGACCTCGAGCTACGGATCGCCGCGCAACAAGCCCTTGACAACGCGAGGGCGGAGCGGAAGAGGTTGAGCCACGAGCCAAAAGGTCTACGCCTGGCTCAGGGGCTCTGGGGCCCCAGGAGGGGGGGTGGGCGAAACCCCTGGTTCCAGGGGCTCAAGGGCCCCAATGGCTCAAGGCTATGCCTGGCTCAGGGACTCCGGGCTCAGGGGCCCCAGGGGGGGGAGAGGGAAGGGAGAGGTTGGGGGGCCATTGATCTCATATTGTTCCATTGTTAAGAGTCCTGGCCCCAGATCTTTGGGCACTTGGTGCGAGGCGCAGTGAGGTCCGCGTCATGGGCACTGGCCGTTACAGTTCGTCTTCTTTAGGCCTTGACAGCGGTGCTCCCTTGAGGCCCCCATTTGATGAGCCCGCTGTGCCAGGCGCGACCAGCCATGAGAAGAAGGCGGCTCGCAAGAGGTCAAATTCGGATCACCCACGCGAGGTGGGCTCGAGCGTCGAACGCGAGAGGGGGGGCGGTGGAGAGACGGAAAATACATGCGAAGCATCGCTTCTGGATGGACTCGCCTGCGTGAGACGCTTGCCTGATGCGGTGCTCCCTTTGTCTGTCCTCTGTCACCCCTCTGCTTTCGGGGCGCGAAGGGGAGGGGGGGTCACGACCCCTCTCCTTGAACCCGAGGTCTTCCTCAAATCAAATCAAACTCCATCCGAGGCCGAATGAACCCTAATAAGCTGTGGCAACGGTCTCTTAGAATGTCACGTGTAGATGTTGGGGCGGAATAATAGCATCCAGAAGAAGAAAGCCCTCTTGGGCCCCCAGGCCCTCTTGGAGCCTGCAAGCGGCCTTCCTGGGCAACCCGGGGCCGCTGCAAGCGCGGGCGCCTGCTCTTTTACAGCCTGCAATATAGTAGTCCCCAGGGGGTCACGGTGGGCTTCTACTGATCTCGTTGCCATCGCCACCATTAACATCATCGTCGTCGCCATCACCGCCACCAGCATCATCGTCGGGAGGCGTCGTCGCCATCGGTAGCAACATCGGCACTGCCACCGCCACCGCCATTTCGCAGCCGCTTCACCCCCAAGTATGGCTGTCCGTGTCTGCTTTTTCTGCGCGCTGCGCGCGCTGTGCCCTGGGGCAGATGGCGCCTGGGGGGAAACAATTGTGGACCCTGGCTTCCCCGACATGCCTCTCGAGGAGCTGAGGCGTCGCAGTGCCCATCTCACGTCTCTGGGAGCTTCAAGGGGAACTACTGCTCATGTCCTTGTTGTAATCCCCCCTCCCTCCTCCTCCTCCTCGCCCTTATCCCCCCCCTCCTCCCCCCTCCTCCCCCCTCCCTCTTCCTTTCCTCCTCCTCCCTCATCCTCCTCCACCTCCTCCTGAACCGTGGCCTGCTCCTCATTATCCGGCTCCTCCCGCTCCTCCTTCTCCCCCCCCTCCTCCTCCTCCCCCTCTTCTTCCTCCCCCCCCTCCTCCTCTTCTCCCTCCGAGTCCTACTTCTCCGCCTCCCTCTCCTTCTTCCCCATCGTCGTCCTCCGACTCCTGCTTCCCCTCGTCTCATTCCTCTCTCCCCTCCGCGCCCCCCCCCCCCCTCCTCCTCCGGGGGAGCGACGCCTTCGGGAAGATGGGGGCGACGAGGAGGACGAGGAGATGCTGGACAGGAAGAGGGGGGGATGAGGATGAGGAGGGCGAGCACGAGGAGAATTTTGGGGGCGTCACATTTGAATCGCAAGTTGTCTTCCAGCGTGCCATGGTATGCCATGCAATGGGAAGATGCGCTGCTTGTCGCGGCAATGCTATGCCATGCGAATGCTAATTTAATGTCCCAAGTGCCCCCTTAGGTCCGAGACCGCCAGCTACGCGCTGTGGAGTATTATGCCAACGTTGGCTCTGCAGCCTGCATGGAAGAATCGCATCTGGACAGTGCCGATGAATATCCTATTTCATATTCCTGGTCGCATTCAACAAATTATTGGTTGCAATGAGCGCCCTTTAGTAGTCATCAGGAACTTGGACTTCGTGGACGTTTGCGCCGGTAGGGCGCGGATTACGAAATGGGCCTTGACGGCAGGTCTGCAGCGCGCAGCAATGTGGAATACGGCGATCATATGGACATCAATACCGACAAGAGATTTGCTCTGGCTATCTTGTGTATCCTCCGGGTCGTCAGCGGTGGTCTTGCGTTTTTGCTGGTCAGTGTTCCTCCTGGGTCTGGATGAGCCGATCGCAATCGAAGCGTTCACGTGAGAACGTAATGGGCGATTCGTCGCGTAAGTTCGTAGCAGAGGGTAATGCGCTGAATCATCGATGCGCTATCTTATCGATCGTCGCTCATTTATGCGGTGTTCAGTGGGTCGTGGAACAGCCTGGCTCCAGCTTATTCTTCAGGGCGGCTGACATGAAGACTGCTATTTGGCGCTTCGCGTATACCTACTGCATCATCCAGAGAGAAGATGCCCACGCGAATGAAGGCAGCCCCGCTGCGTCGAAGTCCCGGGAGGGATGCCTAGAGAGAGCGAGAGAGAGAGAGAGAGAGAGAGAGAGAGAGAGAGAGAGAGAGAGAGAGGAGAGAGAGAGAGAGAGAGAGCGAGAGAGAGATGGGAGAGAGAGAGAGAGAGAGAGAGAGAGAGAGAGATGAGAGAGGGAGAGAGAGGAGAGAGGGAGAGAGAGAGAGGAGAGAGAGAGAGAGAGAGAGAGAGAGAGCGGAGAGAGAGAGAGAGAGAGAGAGAGAGAGAGAGAGAGGGGAAGAGAGAGAGAGAAGAAGAGAGAGAGAAAGAGAGAGGAGAGAGAGAGAGAGAGAGAGAGAGAGAGAGTTTTTGGAGAGAGAGATGAGAAAAAAAAAAAAAAAAAAAAAAAAAAAAAAGAGAGAGAGAGAGAGGGAGAGAGAGCAAATGTTGGAAG